ACTTAGTCCCGTCGGATTTCTTAAGGGTAGACTCTTGAAGGAATGGAATTTTGTTTTCTGTGTAATATCAGAAAGTTTATTCACTAACGCATATGCGTACTTCTTTTTGAAATAAATGAATGTCAATATTGAGTAAACATAACAAACTTTCGAGTTTTTGTCTTTTTGCATTTAATGATAACCAGATTCTTGGAATACGTGATACTATTTTAAATATGTGGAACATAATGCAGAGAAGAAATGGTTCTGTGTAGAGGTTAAGCTTGATCGCCTTGGCTTTGAAATTTTCTGTTTGGGTGTTTACTTAATTATTTTTTCAATTTGATTTTCGGGGGGTTTGGTCATCAGTTACTTGAAATAAATATCAAATTTATTATTAAACAATATTTTTTGGTATGTGTTATTACGTTGGTGTCGTAAAATATTTTAGTTTTATGAAGCATCTGTGCACTTTATAACAATTACAGGAAGAATTGAATGGTATGAATTACATAAACTCGAGTGAGTGGTATGAATTACATAAACTCGCGATTATTTTTTAATTTTTGAATATTTAACTATGGAGAAAAGTGCTGGGAAAAGAAATTATTACTTAATCTCACTTTCCAAGCGACCTGGCTTTCTTTGGGAAGTGGTCGAAAGTATAGAACATTTCGCCATCTCCGCCTTGAGAACATTATTCATAATCGATTATTGTATCCGTCTGTCGGATACAGACAGGTGCCTTCAACTCATGAAACACAACCTTAAACAGGTAGCAGAATCTACACCAGGTATAACGTACCAATTTCATACGTGAATTGAAACAGCTGAACAGTGAACTGTGCATCAAATGCAATAATTTCAAAATACATATTAAAGTAGTGCACCCATGGATCGCTAAACTCTGAACATTGAACTTGGACCAAATGGAACAGTACCTACATAATTACTACACTACAACATCCAGTATATAATTCAAATATAACACCCTAGGTATCATAAAGCGTATGTTATGCCAAAACCAACAAACTCTATAATGAACATAACTTCTTGCATTGTAAATAATCTAACAGTATGTTAGCGCTATATCCGATGTGTTGAAGTACTGTAGTCAGGTCCTCTGTGGAAGGGGCGGTACGCTAGAGAAGTAGTGCTTGGAAGCTATACCATTTTTGCCAATGGCAATTGCTTAGTGCCTCCCCCCATGTACTTGTTCCTGTCTTGTGGGATACAGAAGGTCATACAAACGTTTTATATGCTTTACCAAAGATTCGAACTCGGTCTTCGAATGTGGAAGTTGCTATCGTTAATTTCTCTTATGACTAAACGGCAAAAGATTGTTCTTATAAAATAAGTTGCTATGCAGTTTGAGGATCAGCATGCTTAAAGAAAACGGTAACAGTAAAGCATGTTGAAAAATAGTTTTTCAGCATGCTTTGAAAAGTCAAGTTTATAGGCGAAATTGTTCTATTTTTGATGCAATTCTTAATAACTGGGAAAAGTTTTAAATTAAAAATCTTAGTCTAGTAAATTGTTTTATGGAAAGATTTCATATTTCCACGTGCTTCTTAAGTTTAATCTTAGCCCAAAGTTTAGATGGCCAAAATTTGAAGGAAGGTTTGTTATTAAAATAAATATTGGATTGTTATTTATACAAACATTGCATCTGAACGTAGCATGTATCACTGTCTTTTTCATATCACCTAATAAAATTTTAAATAATATATTTATATTGGACATTTATTTCATTTTACAGATACATCCCTGTTTTATCAGTTATCGGCGTCCGTTATGTTTTCGTGATATGAATGTATTCAGAGCTTCAATGATTAGGAAATATTATCTGTCGCAGTAAATGTATGTGTAAGGACTAGAGACACTGTTCATTAGCTTAAATAGGCAGTAAATAATTATTTTGCTTATCCTTTGAAAATGTGAATTTTTAAGTAAACAAAAGTTACATATTAAAAATTAAAATTGGTTTTGCATTGCTTATGAGCTGTCTTACTTAGCAGGTGCAGAAGTTACTATGTTTCATTTCCATTTATTAGAAAAGGGGGAAACTTAGAAAAGGGGGGAAAGAAATAAAAGGAGTGAGCATCGTCCTTTTTATATTAGATGGTTAAGACATTCCCCCCCCCATTAGATAGCGTACTGTATTATACATTTTCTGGTATAATAAGGCTGCGATCATCATCCGAAAGATGTCACTTTTATCTCCCCATAAATTCTAATAAACAGAGTCAGCTCTGCGTCCGTGCCTGGTAATAACCACTTATTAGCGACGTTCGCAATTCAGAGCAATCGTACCAGAATTGCGATGGTGGCAGCTCCACCCACCCAAGGATGACGCAGGCGTTGGCGGGAATCGGGGTCATTTTTCCATCACGCTTGATTGGACCCCACCGTCCAGATGTCTATGAGAATTATATTAAGCTTAAGTGGATAACCATCGGACTGACCTGAATTTATGGTTGGAAAATGTTGTTCGTTCCTGTTATTCTCGCATGTTGCAGGAAGAAGGCAACAAAAGCTGATGAATGAGTGCGCTTTCGATTGGTCTTTTGGTGTTTTTTCAAAGAATATCTCTTGCCCTCCCATTCGATTTTACGTTATCATGTAATTACTGCTGCTTCCTCATTTTGGTGCAAATATCTTATCCGTATATATAGAAACCAATGATTTTGAGTATTTGCAATTTTCACGTCATATTCTCCCCCCTCTTGTTCCTAGAGAATCAGAATTAAGATTAGTTTAATATCAGTGCGTAGTAAAAGTATCAAGTGTGGTATGGACGTTTGTTAATGTAATCATTTAAAAAGCAAGTTGTTTTTTTACATAATACCTCAGAACAAAGTAAAATTTTATAATTTAAATTTGCGGCTGTTTTAACCTCTTGTGACAGATTTGCTTATAAGAACTCGAAAATAGATTTAAGAACAAAAGGAGTTGAGTTTGCAAAACTGCTTCTGAAAGCCAAAACGTGGTGTTATGTCATTTAGTTCTACCCCTTAATTTAAATAACCCGATTTACAAACTTTGAATTTTCATTTTTAATAAACGTATGTAATCTACGAATTTTAAATTTAAGATGTGTGCGTGTAAGATAAATCCAGTGGTTACGACTAAGGTTTCACGAAAGCAAAGGATCGAGTCTACTTCCTGCGGTCGACCGTTTTCGAAAATAAATATCTAATGCACCTGCACGATCGTTAAAAAGATCTGTGATGTTTCATGCTGAAGAAAAATAACTATTAGTTTAGTTTGACGATATGTGTTTTAAAATATATGTAGAAAATATTTTGATTTTATAAAATTACTGCTTCTTTAAAAAGGCGTGTTTAAATCCGAAAGTTTGATGGTGAAAAGCCTTTAATAGTACAATTTTATATTTATTTCAACGTGAAAAGGCAGATTGGCAGTCGTTTCTCAGAGACCATAAGTCTAAATTCGACGTTATATGTACTATATGAAATTTATTCAGACTTATCTTGTGTCAAATTAAATTCGCTGAACTCCAATATCGACATATTATAGTAATCTATTGCGGAATGATTGCATTTTATAATAAAAATGCCTTAATTGATGTTGAGGGAAAATTACAAAACTGTTAAGCATTAGGTAATTATTTTATAAGATGTTCTTTAATAATTGTTAGCTTGAGTACCTTTGACCGTCTTGATGCTCTGAATGGATTATTTAAGCATTATTTGGATTTCTATACTTAGTTTCTGGAGAAGAAGAAACAGGTATAAACCAGCATTTAAACGTATTTGTGTGAAAAGAGGAAGAATGTCACAGTCTGCGACATGTGGCATTCTAAGTAGTGCAAACAACTAAAGATGAAGGTAGGGAAAGATAAAACAGAACAGTGGTGTGACATTTTAGAAATATTATAGTTTAGAAATATTATCTTATAGCAGACAACTAAAGATGAAGGTAGGGGAAGATAAAATAGAACGGTGTTATGACATTTAAAAAATATTAGTTTGTTTCACGAAATTTTTCGTATTTTAAACTTTTATTGTTTATATTTTTAGAAGGAATAATGACGCATAACGACGAATATCCTAAAGCTTTTTTTTACATATAAATATATCTACATGACAGAAGCATTAAAAGTATGTAAATCGAAAACAGATTTATTAATATGTAGCAAAATATGATTCAGAAGTCGAAATTGATTTTTATCTTAAATTATGAGTATTTTTAAACATAAAACATTTTATAGAAAATACTTTCCCACGGTAGTTTTTGCATGAATACGATGTATTCTAACTATCTTTATATCTGTTTTTGTTCTAAGTATACTGCATTGTACTAAATTGTTGAGTGATTTCTGGCGCGCTTCAGTAATCTTGGGGGGGGGGAGAAAATTGCTTAGTGCTTATTCTGTAGGTGTTTGTCCGTTTTCAGTAAATTGTCAGTGAAACATTCCCGTATTTGTCGGTGGTTTGATTTAATGAAGGCAAAACCTATAAGGACTATCTGCCGAAAGCATACCTTCATTGAAAACTTGCTAAGGAAAACTAGCTCATATTAACGTTATGCTTGGGAAAAGTCACGAAAACCTTTCACGTGTTATATTGAGTAAATCTCAAACATTTCATTCAAATGTTCGTCTGTTCGCAGATATTAGGACTCCAGTTTTAAAATGCTTACTGACCATTAACTTTGGATTGCTGATGTTTTATTTAGGGAATCTTTTCCGAACTTTCATGTGCATTAAAATGCTATTATATTTTATATTTTTTTTTATTAATATGAACTTTTAAATAATGACCGTATGTTGAAAATGTCAAAAGATTTGGTCTTCAGTGAAGTCAGATTTATGTGAAAAAAGGAATGTTGTCAGTTTGACGTCATGTTTATTCTGCGACTTTGAAAATACTAATGTTTTTTTTTTTTTTTTTTTTTTTTTTTTGTTTGTTTGTTTCTCTTTATCCACTCGACTAAGTGTGCACAGCCGGAAAATGAAAGTCTATGACTCTAGGACAATCTTATCTGACGTCAAATTTCCAGCTTCCTTTAACATGTTTGATAGCCGCATTTGTCATTATAAGATTTCGTTCAGTATGTAATAATAATTAATTCCACATAATTTTTTATATTATTTTGTAATAATCTAACAGGGGAAATATGTTGTGATTGAAGCTAATTGTATTGTTTCATATGCATTTCTTTTAAAAGTTGCATTTTGTTTTCTCTGTGTCAAATAATATCGTCCATTTTTTATGTCGTCTGTGTATTGTTTTTCACTTGTATAAGATAATGACGTCATCATTTTCATCTTATTGTCTCTGCATGTTTTCATATATTAAATTTTATTTTCGCAGAATAAGTTGGAAAGCATTGTAATGTTGAAATTATTAGCATTTTTTGGTATTTCTTGAAGTAAAGTTTTAACTGCAGACTTTTTTTTTTTTGAATGAAATGAATTATCTAGAAATGACACAATCCAAAGAAGTTGTTACGATTTTTAGAACATAGAAGGAGAATTAAAGGGTTACTGTTAGGTAAAATTATAGTTTTTATGTAGATATTTTTTATCTAAGGAATAAGGCAGGAATAAGTTTAAAATTGGCAGGAAAAAGTAATTAACTTTAATTCATCCAAATAGCGATAAGATAGATAACAAGACAACAAGAGAAATAAGACAAAACAAGAGAAAGAAATAAGGTATAGTTAAATTTTTAGGTGATTTCATGCTTAGTCTTTAAGTTGAATAACCTGCCAATATGAATAGGTAATTTAGGATTGGTTTTGAATTCAATATTTCAACAACTAACATATAGAGATATAAGAGATCAACTGGATTTAACCTGGACTTAGTCAAATATGCAAATATTTTTTTATTTCGTTGATTTTTGTCAGCACTCGCACCTACCTCAAAGATTTTATTTGTAAGCAAGAAGTAATATGCATCCCTAAATCTCCGACTGATAGTATGTTAAGAATAGCCTTAATTAATAATATAATAAAATCCCTCGATTCAGTGATTTATGTAAAAAAAATTTAATGAGTGCTTTCTACAGTAATACTGTCATTCGGTATTCAAGTTAAAATTATTCGTACATATAAGGTATTTTAGTGGGTCTTTGCTAATCTCTTATTTAAATTACTCATCGATGGGCAGAGCTAGCATCGCCAAAATTTTTTTCGCTTGCCCGGGTTAGGTAAAGAAACTAATTTGCGGAGTTGCGTTGGTTTTGTTTGATTCTACCCCCCCCCTCGTTAAATAGATCGATATTCAAAGAAAGACAGAATTCATTCATTTTACTCAAAACTTACCGTCTTTACGTAGCATTTTTTATAAACTGTATAACATCCTTTTATATTTCTTCTTGAATAGCATCATTTGTTCAGATGTAATAGTTATTAATATACTGATTAATTAACAATTTAATGCGTTCCAAAATGAAGTTGTTTGATAATTCTGAAGGAGTTAGGATTTTCCAAACCAGTAACACTCAGAAATCGAAAAACTCTTAGAACAAGACTTCATTTAGTGAATAGGTAATTTTTCTTGCGAAAATATTTTATCACGTTCCTGTTTAACATTTTCAGAACAGAAAGTAAAATATTGACTATGCGGGCGTATTGTCGAGAAGGGTATTTGACAGAGAAAGTTACGACCTGCAGGTGTGTTGCTTTGTGAGATCCTTTTGGTTGGCCTACATCCTCGGGCTGAAACTCTTTAAGCGCTTACGTAATCTATGTGTGCTTCTAATTTATATCTTCTGTTTAAGTAATCTGGACATGCCTTTCTAAAGAAATATTTATTCTGCTCTGCATGAGTCTTATTTTCTTTCTTATGTCCTCGGAATAACAAATTGCCTCTTCCTTGTTTTATGAATACACCATTGGATTCACCATTTTCTGCTGTTTTGAAGGAAAAAAGCTTTTTTTAATAAACAATTTTATTTTGATATTAGTGTTCGATTATTAACATCCATTGAAAAATTTAAATGGGATATATTTTACGATATGAATATTTGCTGATAATTGAAATTAAACTGATTTTGTTCCTCTTGTGAATTATTTGCCAAAAGTATGGTGATTTTACGATAACTTTTTTCAACACATTATTATTTTGTGGTTTTAAAGATATATTCATATGCAGTTTAAAATAGCCCCAAATAGAAATTGTAAATTTGGATTCTAGCTTCGGGTTCTCTTTTTCAATTTTAGTTATTGTAGTTTATGTATTTTTGTCTTGCTCTAAAGGTATCTGGATGGCAAGTGTTTAAAAGCAAAAACTGCGCCTTCAGAAATATTTGTTGCACATATTTCTGGTTGACCTTTTAAAGAAAACTCTTCTTCTTCCCTTGTTCTGGTTTTTAACTCCTTAACAGTTGTGTATTTTTTATAAAATTCGTTCAGCAGTCATGATTTTTTTTTGCCCTGTTTGATTACACACAAAATTGTGATCCGATTTTGTTAGCAGCATATTTTCCCTGAAATTTCAGTTTCTAAGCGGTGTAAAGTTATTTGTAGCTCGCGATTTTTTTAACTTTGTTTGTGGCTTTCTTCACACACTCAGGCTTCTCAGGAAAGTTTTAAAATATTCATTTATAAATCTACAACTGTGATGTAAATAATTTATGCTGCTACTTTATTAGACGGTATTCTACTCACATGGAATTGTATGCTATCTCATAAAATCATGATTAAAAAAAAAGGAAAGTCTCTTATAAAAATATGCGATAAAATAGAATAAAGGATAAAGAAAAGGCTACACAGAGCATGTATTTTGTGTTGTACAAAGTTCTAGAAAAAATTAATTATTAACATAAAATGTTAATTAATTTGTTGGACTTCCGCTATCATCTACTGACAATATCTGCGTTTAAAATAATTACGGGAACGATGAAAATGGATAGTCAGTAGTTTTTGCCGGTTCATTTTATGTAGACCGAAATTGACGTTTACGGGTGTGACAAAAGTCATTTCGGAATGACTGCTTAAAATTTTGTGACTTACTCCCCCCCTCAATCCTCATAATGGCTGGACAGTTGCTCTGAAACACTGTTAGAGACGCTGCAGAACCCCTTAACCGTCTCATCGCCGAGGGCTTTGATTGAAGATATTTAGAAGAAACCTTCATTCAAATGAGAATCCACTGTGATTAACATTAGATTATCTAATAAAATATATTCATGTTTGTTTTTCCTGTATCTTGAATCTCACCCGCTTTTACTGTTGCCCAGTGCTCCTTTTTAAGCCTCAAATCCTGAAACTGCTGTGTATTGTCTGCTGTTGCTTGCAAGAGGTCGCAGTCGTCAGCGTTGTCACCGTCTTCGCCACCATTTAATCTGTCTTCTCGCGTGAAATGATCTTCAGAAGCATGAAGAGCATTAGATATCCCCATTTTCTTGAAACACTTTACTACAAGTATTATTGCATCATCAGTTCTCCCAGAACCTTGTGCTGAAAAGCTACAATGGGAAAACAGGCGAATAAAATACATTATATATACATCCAAGCCTTCCATGGATGTCGAAACTATACCTTTGATTTCGGGCAGTCGTTCCCCAGTAACCACTATACTACTGCTCAGTGATGTTCAACACACATACATGTCTTTGGTGACCTGATAAAAATTCAAAGCATAAGTTTATCTAATTTCGGAATTGCTTGAAGCAAGCTCAAGACGATAAGTTTGGGTTTTTCACAACGCTGACGTTGCTTACAGAAGTAGGAGAAACGAGAAAGGGACTAGGGGTTAAAAGGGGTGTACATAAAGGGAGTAGGGGGAAAAGTTGCTTTTGAGAAGACTAGGAATCGTTGACATCGTACAAGAACAAACTTGTACTATAGTAACCTTGACTTGAAGTATGTTGCGTTAGCTGCAATCTCATTTTTTGGGTAAGTGCTGAAGGTCGTCGATTTCGAGAATTTGACAAATCTTATCGGGGTGGGGGTGGATGAGAAACTTCTCGAATAACAATCGAATATTAGGTTGTATTTTTAAGTAATTTGCCACAGAATCTATAGTTATTCTTTGATATCTACTAAAGGCGCAGTATTCTTTTAGGTGTTAGTAATGAAAGTACAGTCGGTCATATAATTCATTAGGATAAATTTTCCTTTGTAATACAGTTTCTGTATGCATTAGCTTAGCAAGGGTTTCTGTCAGCTTTCAAAGCATTACATCATGCCTTTAAAAATAACTAAAATCTGAAATCTTGCCCTCAAATTTCTCTCCCGTGGAGTAAATTGATAGAAAATGAAATCTGCGGACAAGAATGTTCTAAAAGTAGGAGATCAAAATGAAAAATTCGAACTACCCTTTTATGAGGCACATGGGTTAATGAAATGGCGAAAAGGTAGAAATATCCAGCAATTCCTTTTTCTTGATTTAATTTTTATTTTTATGTTTCAATTTTTTAAGTCGCGAATTTGTTTGACTTTAAAGCAAATTTAACTGGTGGTTAGTTTTTTAAATGTTTGTTAACCGTTATTTATTCGTAATGAGTTTTTAAACTTAAAAATAGATTATTCTAAAACTAAGATAATTTGAAAAAATACCAAATTTTCCTAGGAAAGTGGATATTTAAGTTCTTTTCTTAAGAGAAATCATCAGAAACGTTCCAAACAACCAAAATTCATTCAGTTTTTCAGCAAACATTTTTTTGACTTCAGGATAACATCATATCATATATCATCATATCATATCATCATATCAAAGAGTGGCTAGCGGAAGAAAGAAGGGAAAAAAAACTGAAGAATCACAGCAAGGATGAGCCATAAAAGAGTATAGAAATCTGTAAACAATCTATTAGACTATATTACACTGCTGGCCATCGTAAGTGCAACACCCTGAAAGAAGTATGCAAATAACATGAAATTTACAACATGCATTAGCGGAGGTGATATATGCATATGATTAGAATTTCAGCGCAGACGCACATCACGCGCGCCTTTGGCGCCACTTCAAAGCGCTATTTAAGGCTTGGAGTTTTCGATGATTTCAAGTTTGGCAATTGTGTTTTTCTTGTGGTTTTTTTCAAAAAAAGATCAATTATGCCTCGTACAGCGATCCAAGTATGCCAAACAGCGATCATCGTTTG